CTAACATGACAAATCCAGCATTGTCTGTCCGCAACTTTTGCAAAAACCCTAATTTTTCATTTCCCTCTCTCAGTAACCTCTGAATTTGTATGTTTAGAAAAACCAATACTTGGAGTGATTTTGATGGGCGCAAGTAAGTTTTCCCATTTCTTCTTCTGATTCATGGAATCAGTGTCTGCTTTTAAAAATTTCTCCAGCAATTTTGCTTTTGTGGATATAGCTTTTGTGTTTCTTTCCAGGTTTGGTAATCTTGATGAGACCTTACGAATTACGATTGTGTAAAAGACAAGACCTTGAAACTGTTATGCAATTAGAGAATGGAACAACCTTGAAACCCTTTGAAACTGGTTTGCCATTGAGAACATCTTTGTTGTGTGTTTGAGTTTTTTTTTTTTTGGGGTCACATGTTGTGTGTTTGAGTTTAGCTTCTAAAATCCTCTGATCGAATTACTCAGGTCTTAACTTCTGATTGGTCTCAATGGATTCAAAAAGGATGAATATTGGTTCCAAAGATTTAATCAGCAATCTACCAGAAGCTTTGATTGGCCACATTTTGTCCTTCCTTCCCACAAAAGATGCTGCTTTGACTTCAGTTCTCTCCAAAAGGTGGAGGTATCTGTTGGCTTTTGTACCAAATCTGGACTTTGATGACGAGATTTGTGACAATTATAAAATGGGTTACCTGAAAAGGCTAGAGATGCGTACAAGTTTTCAGGTTTTTGTGGATAGAGTTATGGCTTTGCAAGGGAATGCTTCAGTAAACAAATTCTCTCTAAGTTGTGAAATTGGTGTTGAACCATCTAGTGTGTTGGGTATCCAATGTGTTGGAGCGTGGCGTAGTAGATATTGATCTATACATTTCCGAGGATTATGATTGTCCGCTGCCTTCGGAGGTCTTGATGAGCAAGACATTGGTTAAGCTGAAAGTAGCAGGTACAAATGACTTCAGCCCTAATGTGGGAGACGTTTTTCTTCCAAAGCTTAAGACTTTGTATCTTGATGATGTTGCATTCAGTGAGAGTGGTGCTGCATTTGCCAAGCTAATTTCTGGTTGTCATGTGCTTGAGGAGTTGGTTATGATTGATGTCGTGTTTTTTTCTTGCAACTTATTCTTGGTTTCTAACCCAACCCTCAAGAGACTA